ATATAATATATAATATATAATATATAATATATAATATATATATAATATATATTATATATAAAATAGAATATAAAAATATATAAAATATAAAACCATGAAAAGTACAAAAAAATCAAAGTAAAGCAAACAGTAATTGCTGCAGCAACTGCTAGGGTTTAGGGTTTTGCTAGGGTTTAGGGTTTACTAGGGTTTAGGGTTTTGCTAGGGTTTAGGGTTTATGCTATCTATATATAGACCCCTAAAACACCGAGGTGAACATACACCCCAACTCGGGGGTTTAGGGTTTAGGGTTTAGAAAATAATAATCAGATTCATAGCAAACACTTCTTCGATACAGGTTGCGGGGGGCCCCCAGGGGGGCCCCCAACAGCACAGGGGGGCCCCTGGGGGCCCCCCTGTTAAATAGCAGGGGGCCCCTTAAGCTGCAGGTAGCAGCAGCATGGGTACTGCTGCAACAGCAAGCAGCACTGCTGCAGCATCAAGCAGCACTCCTGCAGCAGCAGCAGCAACACTGCTGCAACAACATCCCTAGAATGTAGTATTAAAACTGTTTCCTCTTCGTTTGGGGGCCCCTGGGGCCCCTCTGGGGGCCCTTTCATTTTAGGGGCCCCTTACCTATGGGGGGACCCCTACTAGTACCCAGTCCCTCTAAGGGGGCCCCCCAAGTCCCTCTAAGGGGCCCCCTATACTTCTAAGGGGGCCCCCCAGGTCCCTCTAAGGGGCCCCCTATACTTTTAGGGGCCCCCCTATACCTCTAGGGGTCCCCCTATACCTCATGGGGGCCCCCTCAGTGCCCCTAAGGGGGCCCCCAGCAGTTGCACTGAGGGGCCCCCTAAGTCCCTCTGAGGGGCCCCTTCATTTTAAGGGGGCCCCCGTTTCTCTAGTGGGGCCCCAGTGTATCTGAGGGGCCCCATCAATTTAAAGGGGCCCCCAATAACTCTAAGGGGCCCCCACTCTATCTAAGGGGCTCCCAGTCCCTCTAAGGGGGCCCCCAGTCCATCTAAGGGGGCCCCCTTCAAGCTAAGGGGCCCCCCGTCCCTCTAAGGGGCCCCCAGTCCCTCTAAGGGGCCCCCAGTCCCTCTAAGGATCCCCCAGTCCATCTAAGGGGGCCCTCTTCAAGTAAGGGGGCCCCCAGTCCCCCTAAGGGGCCCCCAGTCACTTTGAGGGGCCCCTTCAAGTTAGGGGGCCCCCAATCCCTCTAAGGGGCCCCCAGTTCATCTAAGGGGGCCCCCAGTCTATCTAAGGGGGCCCCCCAGTCTATCTAAGGGGGCCCCCTTCAAGCTAGGGGGCCCCCAGTCCCTCTTAGGGGCCCCTCAAAGTTAGGGGGCCCCCATCCCTATGAGGGGCCCCTCCTTTTAGAGGGGCCCCTCGTTAATAAAAAAAAGTTATAACGGGGCCCAGGCATCCTTAGGGGGCCCCTCCTTGATGAAGTTATATACTTATATCCCTTATCCTTTCAGCAGCAGAAGCTGCAGCAGCAGCAGCAGCAGCTGCAGCAGCAGCTGGAGCAGCTGTAGCAGCAGCAGCAGCTGCAGCAACAGCTGCAGCAGTAGGGGGCCCCCCTCTTCTCTTTTTTAGGGGGCCCTCCTGTCTCTACTGTATTTGCTGCTGCTGCATAAGGAGACAGCTGTCTCTGTTATTTATTTTATTTGTTTTATTTATTTTATTTGTTTTATTTAATTTATTTATTTTATTGTCTCTGCTGCACATGGCTTTGATATTTGGGGTGAAAATCAAACGCCTGCTGCAATCCCCTAAGAACAAATAAATAAATATAAATAAATATAAATAAATATAAATAAATATAAATAAATAAATATAAATAAATATAAATAAACAAATATAGATAAATTAATACATATGAATAAATACAGCAGCAGTAGCAAGATCAGCAGTAGCAGCAGCAGCAGCAGAACCAGCAGCAGCAGCAGAAGCAGCAGCAGAAGTAGCAGCAGCGAAAACAGCAGCAGAGACAGCACCGCCACCAGCAGCAGCAGGCCCAGCAGCACCAACAGCAGGCCCAGCACCAGCAGCAACAGCAGCAACAGCAGCAGCATCAGCAGCAGCAGCATCAGCAGCAGCAGCAGCAGCAAATGTGCTTACCTAGGAATACGAATTCTGATGCATCTGCTAAGAGGACGCCGCACTGCTGAGCGGAGCGAACATCACACCCCAAAGACACCGCAAACTCTGCTGCTGCTGCTGCTGCTGCTGCTGTTGGTGTGGGGTGTGCACCATCACCATCATCAGCAACAGCAGCAGCATCAGCAGCAGCAGCAGCAGCAGATTGCATGTGGAAGGTAGCTCTACCGCTGCGCCGAATAAAGAGGCGACCGATGCGCCCAGAGGGCAGCTCCTCCAATGTACTGAGGGGCTCGCTGCTGCTGCTGCTGCTGCTGCTGCTGCTGGGTTGCTGCTGCTGCTGCACCATGGCGGCTCTGTCAAGAGGCGGAAGACACCGCGGCAGCTGCAGCAACATAAATGGGCCGCTGCTTGAGACAGATTCGTTGCTGCTGCTGCTGCTGCTGCTGCTGCTGCTGATTGCTGCTTCTGCTGCAGCTGCTGCCTCCCGCAGCACCGCCCCAACTGACGGAGGAGGCGGCTTCGTCTGCAGCACAAGATACAACACGAAGAGACAATGCAGCAGCAGCTGCAGCTGCAGTAGCAGCAGGAGTAGCAGCAGCAGCAGCAGAAGTAGAAGCAACTACAGCAGCAGCACAAGCTGCTGCACCAGCCACGCATGCTGCTGCAGCAGCAGCAACAGCAGAAATAGCAGGAGCAGCACAAGCTGCTGCACCAGCCACAAATGCTGCAGCAGCAACAGCAGCAGCAGCAGCAGCAACAGCAGCAACTGAGATACTCACCCAAGTGAAAGGAAGAGACAGCGGCGTGTATATGCAGCCATCTTGAGTATCTGCTGTACTGAGAGACTCCAAAGAAAGACCGT